ATTAATTACACGAGATATATAATTAACGCGATCAGACACGTGCGCGGTCCGGCCGAGATTTGTTCTTCGGTCTCTCGGAGAAGTCTCTGCACGTGTCGTGTGAGTGACTTCCATCCGCGCATCACACGTCCGCGTCGCGTCTATCGGCGGTGATTTAGAAACGCGCGCCGCGTCCTTGCGTCGTTAATGCGAATATGTACATTCTAACTGCCGGTTATTGCGCGCTTCTTTTTACCCACGGACTGAAGACGGTTAGATGCCGCGATTAAGTTTGCTCACGTGCGGCAACCTTGCGACGTTGTCTCGCGGACTGTTGTTTAACACGTGGCCGTTTAGAGGCGGCCGGCACAATTTTCACGGAACCTCGACTGACAGTGCGACACGCGCATCGCGTGAAAAACTATAATCGCGCTGTGATTTGGTTTTCAATATTTTTCGTGGTCGAGCTCGATTGTGCGAGCGTGACTGCAGAGAGAGAGAGAGAGAGAGAGAAAGTAGCCGTGTCGTAGCTATGTGTAAAATTTCGAAAAGAACGACGAAGCGACAGAGCATTCGCGCGGTCGCGATAAATATTTCCGCGACAGTACGTCGATGGTACGTATTCGGACGAGAGTTATGGCCGAGATTGCACACAGCGAATCCTGGAGCGAATCCGTCGATCCTCTCTCGATGGAACGGAAAAGCGCGCTTACGCTTACGACCGATGGCTGCGTATTCGTCTAATGGAAAGTCCGTGATTCTCGCGGCATACAACCGTCGAGACGTACGCGTGTCCTTGTGTCGTTAACACGATTTGACGTTACTCAACGCGAGATACGCCGGCGTATGAGAGAGAGAGAGAGAGAGAGAGAGAGAGAGAGAGAGAGAGAGAGAGAGAGCGTGTCTACACATTATCCTGGCGACGCCAAGTAAGTCGGCAGCGAGTCTCTGCGCGCGCTTGCAAAATCATCGCTACAACTCCGTAAAAAGTCGCGAGCGCACGCATATCGCGAAAACGCGTTATCGCGCGTAAAAAGTTCACGTCGCCCAATGTCACGCGTCGCGGATATTCTCAAAACCTTACGAAATCGCTGATAATTAATAATTAAGGCGGTATGAAAGAGACGGTTCATGTGTGAACAAATAAAAAATAAATTAACTTTGAAATATGCAATCATGAATAATTTCTCAATTAAAAGTCATTTTTATACTCGATATGACAAAGTGCATCTCCCGGGCAATTTGCAATTGCAACGAGAACAACGCAAGATAGGTAGGTAGGTAGGTGGAATGAGACGATGACACACAGGGCGGTGGCAGGGGGAGGACCTTGAATTTTCGCGAGACGATGAGTCGCGCGAAACTCTGCACGGGCTCGACGCCAAAATCTCGCGCGGTGCGTTGCCCAATTTTACGAGAGAATCGGATATGTGTGTGTGTGTGTGTGTGTCGCACTGAAACAATGCCGAGGCGGAATAACGCCTCACTAAACAGACATTTTTCAAAGCCAAACTCGCGCGCGGACGGAGCGAGTAAACGACGAGGCGCGAGGCGTTCTCTCGAGATATTTTTGGACTTCCGGGTCGCGTCGGGCAACCTCAGAGTATCTCTGAGGAGGATTTCTCGCGCGCGAGATACCGAAGGAATGACGAGAGAGAGAGAGAGAGAGAGAGAGAGAGAGCTAAAGAATATCGTCGACCTGTTCGACGGAGGAGAAATGGTCAAGATCAATGTGGTCGCGATCACGGGTCCGTCATTTGTATTTATCCACAAAAGTGAATTTACCTGTCGCTTGAGCGACATGCAACGCTTGAAATAATCACCGGCTTTTTCCCTCCGCGAGTTCCCCCCCGCGAGAGAGGGCGAAGGGGGCGAAAGATGACAAGAGTGGGCAATTTCGCGCCAACTCCACACAAGTCGAGCCGAGGGCTGCCGAATTACCACCGTCCGGTGTGATTTTCCGCGAACAAGGGAAGGAGGGGGCAGAGAGAGAGAGAGAGAGAGAGAGAGAGAGAGAGAGAGAGAGACACCAAGAGCAGAGATCTCTCATCGGGCGATTAGCCCGCGGACAGAGCGGGCAGTAATGATCGCGATCGCAGTAATGCAGCGTGTATCGCGCGGGTATTTTCGCACGACGATGAGAAACGCTGGCACGTATTTATAGGATTAACTTCATCGCGCGGATACGGATTGCAGTGTCACACGCGTTGCAGGTCTCGGCAGCCAATGAATGAGCCACGGTGCAAGGACACGAGCAGTTGCAACAAATCGAACGTGCCCCAGACTCTCCGCTCTCTTTCTTTCTCTCCCCTCTTCTCCCCCTTAATTACGAATTAAAGCATTCACTGCCGCTTACTCGCCGCGACTCCCGCGCGACGACACGCCGAGTTTACACGCCGAGGGAAAGGGGTGAACGATCGATCGATATATTTCTCTCGATATTTCATCTCGTTGATTAGTTTGAAACAGTAATAACGCTTTTTCGTCTCGCTTGTCTCTGTCAGGGATACGGCATACAGAAGGAGAGATCGCTCGTTTCTCTCTCTCTCTCTCTCACACACACGACAATCACAGAGCAAGGTCTCTGAAAGGATACTTTAGGAGTCTCGTGAAAATGTCTCCGGCCTTCCTCTCTTCTGCCTTTTTCGTTTATTCCAAACAGCAATTTTTTTAAACAACAGTTTTTTTGGCTCCGATAAGCCGATAAGGAGACTGCAAAGTGATACGACTCGATGAGTATTCGTGAAGGCGCTTAGCAGCGTGAGAACTCAGAAGCGTAGATCACCTGTCCTTTATACCTTTCACGTCGATCGAAATGACAGGTATTAATTACCTGTCTTGCGTTACGCGACTTTGCCACATACTCCGGACTGCCACGGACATTTGTCCCGAGTACGTAGCGTTTGTTTCCGCGGCGGCAAGAGTTAGAAGTTCTGTCAGCGGAGAAGAGTGATGACTGTTCGGGCTGTATGAGGCTAATCATTTTTGTATGCCTCGAACAAAAACGATAGAGAGAAAGAGACAGACAAAGACAAAGAGACAGAGACAGAGAGAGAGAGAGAGAGAGAGAGAGAGAGAGAGACAGAGAGAGAGAGAGAAAGGGCAAGAGACGCGTACGCGCTACGTGTACGTTCCAAGATCTCTCTCTCTTTCTCTCTCTCTCTCTCTCTTGCTCTCCCTCTCGTCAAACGCACCGAGAAATACAGAATAATAACACGACATAGCCATGAATTAGGATAATCGACGAGCACCGGAACGACAGTTACAGCGCGTTACAGCGCGTAAATTACAGTGCAACGAAACTAGAAAATCAAAATGAACGCAAAACGCTAATCAAGTAGTAAAATGGGAAACGCTATCAAACACCGATCAAAGGAACGTAATATTTCAACGACCGATTAATTCGACCGTCTATGCCGTCGATTTTAAGGCGGAAAATATATAAAAGCGCGTGAATTACAGTGCGGAAGAACTGGCAAGAAATCAAACTCCAATGGAAAGAAACGTGACGCGTCTCTCAACGATCGAAATCAATTCGGACGACTATGTGGATTTGGAGGTAGACGCGAATTAACGAGAGGGCGACTTTGAGTTTTCCCGTGGAACTGGAGCATCCTCGAAGAGCCCGGTATCCGCGGATGATTCGCGGTTTCCCGACTGACGCGAGAGCCGACGGTCGGCGTTAGTAGCGTAGTATCGAGAGGACCGTGCGACCGTGCGGCCTACGGGCCGCACTCGATCGAGGGACCGGTAAACGGAAGGTGTACACGTCGGCTGGCTAGCTAAGTATGCGACGTGACATGGTTGGCGGTTTGGTATTTAGGAAAGGCCAGCCGACCAATGTCACAACCCGTTTGAAAGGCGCTAGAATCGCTATAAAGCGCAGGTGAACAGGTAAGCCCGCGCGCGATCGTTTCTCCCCATTACCGATCTCTCGGATCAACGACGACAAAGGTTGACGATTGCAACGCGCATGATTGCCCCGCGATCAAGGCCTGCCGCAAATCTCGGTTGCCAATCGAGTTCGAGATCGCAAGGAAACCGTCGTCGTCGTCGTCGTCGTCGTCGTCGTCGTTGTCGTCGGACCGATTGCGACGTCTTTCTCCCGGTGTGAAGACGGCTACACGAGTGTGTGTGTGTGTGTGTGTGTGTGAGAGAGAGAGAGAGAGAGAGAGAGACAGACGAAGGATTAATTTGTTGTTACCGAATGCATCTGTGACAATTCCATCATTCATCGACATCAGCTGTGTCGTCGGATCTCTTCAACGACACAGGATTTATAATCAAGATTAATAGAAAATATATCGAGCTGTCGCAAGGTCATCGTCACTGATTTTTGAACTTTGCGTTTCGATCTCACCATACGCGTCGAAAGGGTTCGTATCGTAGAGTGGTCTATCTATTTCCAGAAATAGATTGGCAGCGGACCCCGTCGAGAACGGTGTATCCGTGAGCAGTGTATCGCTCCTCTCTCTCTCTCTCTCTCTCTCTCTCTCTCTCTCTCTCACTCTTTCACTCTTTCTGAGTGACTATACACGCGAACCTAACTGACCCTACTCACCGTGGTGAAACGAAACCGAACTTCATTTTATTCGCGAAGAGAAAAGAACGCGAGCCCGAAAAGGTGAGACGGGCGGGATTAATCGCTCCGCCGAGCGTCGGACGCGAGAAGGACGACGGAGGATAGCCCTACGAGGTAGAAGGACAGTTAACCGGCGTTTCCCATGAATCTTCTCTTGTTCTCTTTCTCTTTCCCTCTCCTTCTCTCTCTCTCTCTCTCTCTCTCTCTCTCTCTCTCTCTCTCTCTCTCTCTCTCTCTCTCGCTCGCTCAACCCTATCCAGGACTTTACCCCGTCGTCGGCGGCGAGCGGTTCGACCGACAACCGGGTAGTTTTTGGACGGAACCGGTCCAACCGGTTCGCCGGTTTGGTTCCCGAGGAAAAGCCCCCGGGGCCCTCTTCGCAAGCGCGTTGCCTCTGCCTCTGCCTCTGCTTTTGCTCCATCTCACCCGCCGTAGCCCCTCCTAGTCCCTACCTGAACGGCGAAAGGTAACTTTTGTTTCGACGAGGTCATGTCTTCAGACGAAGAATCGAGAAGCGGACGCTCCGCCACGGTTGCGACAGAGCTCTAACTTTTTGAAGCACGGCTTCAAACCTCGCTCCTCTCGCCGGCCAATTCGCTCGACTCTGGCTGTTTCTCTGGCAGGACGTTCGTTGGCCAAGGATCCGCGGGAAAAATTATCGTGAGTATTAAAATTCGACTGTCGAAAGTGCGCGCGTGAAAGGAACATCAATTACATTCACTTTTGCTGGATCTTTTTTATACCTTCCAAGATACGTCATTATATGAATCGAAAATATTAGAATGCTTCGCTCATTTGATTGCGACGTACAACACGAGTAACACGAAGGAACGTGTCTCGATAATAGATTGCTGGAACGAACGTTCTTTGTCGTTCGAGTCCTCGGCCGATTCGAGCGAAAGGCGAGATGAAGGAAGCGCGAGACCGCGTTTTGATGGCGCGACCAATGTCGCGCCATCCCCATCGCCAATTCGAAGCCCATTCGAAGGCTATGCGCGCTGGATGTTCATTGAGGAAGGGGACCGCTCGTAGAAAAATTCACGAATTCACGAACGAGGTTCACGAGTTTTCTAGCAATTTTCAGCCGAGCCAAAAGTACAACACGATCGCTCACTCGTTCGTACGCGCGCGATAGCGACTCCATCCTCGAAGGAAACTAGGACACCGTAGAAATTGCGAAGTTGGTCCTTGCATCGCGTGCAAGTGCAGGAAGCGCTTTTCCCGGTTCTGCTTGTTTACTCCATTGCATGTGTGTGAGCGTGAGCGTTAATGTGCGCGCGCGCGCGCGTTTTGTGTGCCACGACGGCAAAAAAGAAATATATATATATATATACTTTTTAAGTAAGGCTTATTCGCGTAGGAATAAAATGCAAGCAAGGGGGCCGCGTGGCTATACACAATGGCGAAATGAAATATCAATTTAATAAAGTTCAACACTCGCCACCTCCTTCGTATCTTTTCGTTACGTCCATTTTCTTCAATTTCCTACTCGTGTTTCCTTCCCGAGTCACTTTATTATCTGTATCAACAGTCGCTACGCCCATCGCGGCGGCGACGACGACTACGTACGACTACGTAGCTGCCATTATTATTGCGCCAATGTACGAGCTTTATCGCACTCCGCCCGCCCGCGCCACTCCGCGCTTTTTTGCCGAAGAAGACGAGACTATTTGTCAGAGCAATAATTGTTCCCGCGCGGCTTAATATTCGATCGCGCGCTCTTCAGTATCGCCGCCGACTTCAGAACCGACCGAGGTGATCGCTCGCCCAGGTGTGTAAACCCGACTATAAACGACGAACAAGATATCTCGAGCGATAAGCATGGATTTATGTTCCCTTTTTAATTCCATTTTACGCTTTCTATTTCTTGGTTCTTCTTTCGCACCGTCAATTATCCTCTCGCTAAAATTCGCTGATTATTATTTCCCGATAAAGCTATCACTCGGTTTTTTCATCGAGTTGAGTTGAGATTCTTCGACGAGGCGGTGATTGTGCCGCTATATCCGTGACCGTATCATCGTGCCGTCATTATCGTCGTTATTATTCCGCTGGGCACTCTCTCTCTCTCTCACTCTCTCTCTCTCTCTCTCTCTTTCTCTCTCTCTCTGTCTCTCTCTCTCTCTCTGTGCACCGCTTCCCGGGATTAATAACATCCCCAGCGGGGGAGAGTATCGGCCATATTTTTCGTTTCGCTCGTCACAGCGAGAAACTCGGATTAATTAATCGTCGCAGGCTTGCGTCGTCGATAATCTGTCCACGTCGTCGCCGTAGTCGATTTCATCGCAGCGGCGGCGGCGGCGGCGGCGGCGGCGGCGGCGATGGCGGCGGCGACGACGTTCTTTGCGAGATAAAGCTCACTTCGACCGCGGTGAAGGGCCGTCAAAGGTTATACACGCCTCAAACGATTTCGTTACGTGAGTTACGCGGCATCGTAATGAGAACTTAGGTTACGCGACACTACAACACGCCTGTAAACCCCTTTTACATCGCAATAAGGCCAGGGGGACAAGATTGCGCGCGCTCACGGTTTACATACGCTACTACACGCGAGAAGACCTTTAAGGGTGCCTCCCTTCTCTTCAAGGGTTTCACCGAGGGACGAGAATACTATCGGTGGGACACAACTTGACCGTGAAGCGCGCGCGGAGGGTATCGAGAACGAGCAAAGGGCGACAGAAGGGCGGCCGGTGCATTGTCTGTTCGTCTCGACAAAAGCTCTTCTCCAACTTAAGTACGAGCGAAAGTCGAAAGAGCGCTCCCTTTCCCCGAATTTCAAGTTCATTCCCGAGGCTCAACTTTCGATACGGACTCGGCAATTTTCCCTCTTCCGTGCTTCATCGAGAGCCTGAAACCCAAACTTTGTCGTATCCTAAAGTAGTGTCCATCGGTCGTTTCGCAAGTATTAAAATTGCCCCTCGCTCTCTCTCTCTCTCTCTCTCTCATTCTCCCTCTCATTCTCTACACACATGTACACGAATATGTGCAGTGCACGCAGTCTTCACAGTTTCGAGAGAAAAAAAAGGGAGGAGAAATAGCGCATGGCGTATCTCTCTCGACGCGGCCGAGTATCGCGTGCATCGTGTCGAGATAATAAAACGAGATAATACAAAAAGAGAAACAGTGTTTCGTTACAGAGGGATTACTGTTCACGATGAAAAGCGTCGAATTAGCTCGTTATCGACGTAACGCGAAATACAGTGCGTTGTCACACACGGGACGCGACAATATATAATTTCGCGCGAAAGCGCTTATTAAAACGCGACGGTTCGGACGCACGGTATTACCGTTACAATCCGCTCGACACACGAGATACAGCGAGAGCGGCTCGATGTTAATACTGTTACTAAGCATGCCGATTGTCGGCATGCTAATTTAAATATCAGCCGGTTTTCGACTGCACTTGCTATACTCGCGGCGCGTTATCGCGAAATCGAGGAATCGCGTCGATCATTCTTCTTCTCCTCGCGCGAACAAAGGGAAGAAGGGAAGATTTTCCGCGAGATCCGCGGCCGTGCCGCCGCCATTCCGATCGTGCGCCAAGAGCCGCGCGTGTGCGTGTAATATAATGGGGCTAAAAATAAAAGCGATTACCGTACGACAACGCTCACATCCGCAAGGCACGCAACCACCGTCGCGCGCGCGCGCGCGCGCGCGCACGAGTTGTTTACGTTTGCCGGCGCGCGCGCAAATAGAACGCGCACGGAAATTTTCTTTCACCTGGAGGCCCGCGCGCGTTAAAGTGCGCTCGCTCGCTTGCGCGCACCGCTCTCCGTGAAAATTTTAATAACACGCGCGCGCGCGTGCGCCTTTCCCTTGGCGCGCGCGCACGCGGCACACCGAGCCGAGCCGAGCCGAGCCGAGCCGAGCCGAGCCGAGCCGAGTTGCGCCGCGCGCCGCATTGCGCGCGGACGTTACGAAAAAGAGAATCGGCTGAAATTCCTGGTCGCGGTCGCCCGTAAATACGTCGCCAAACTAATTAGTCCGCGAATTAATCGGCGGCGTTGCCGAGAGCGAGCGCGCGCGCGCGCGCGCAATTATCCAACACACGTCGTCGGCGGATTTTTTTCCCCGATCGCCTTATATCTGGATTTTTCGCGAAAATCGATCGCTCATTATGTCGATACCCGTAGGTATCACGGAGCGTAGTAGTACATACGTGCGTGCCTGCATGCGTACGCTCGCTCGCGACAAACCGGATAAGCAGCTGCGGCGGCGGCGGCGACAAACAGGTTTTCCTCGATCACTTCAGCGGCCGCAGCCTCCTCCGTCGTCGCCCTTATAATCGCGTATCCGATTCAATTAGTATATAGATAGCCGTAATTAACGGCCGAGTGATCCGATCTCGCGCTCTCGACTCTAGGCGCGTCCTGCACGCGTCGGAAGCGTCAAACGGCTCATGCCTCATGCCCGCCCCGAGACTTCACTCGCGAAGCGAAGCGAAGCGAAGACGACTTTACGGCAAATCGGGATGTATTTATAGCTAAGCGAGAAATCAGGTCGTGCCGTATCTGTCAATTCCTCGAACGTGTCTCTAAGGGTGCCCGGAATACATCCTCTCTTCTCGTCACAAATTGATTTTGCATATTATGGAAACGAGATACGGCTATATCGGGGAACAGGACTGGATGTCTGGATGTCGGCTCAAATTAAATCCTTTTTTTTTTTAAATGTAGATCGGTGAATCGCCAGAGTAAAGCGACTCTTTTGTTGCTTTATTATATGCGAGCTCTCGGAGAGAGCGGAGATCTCCTTTCTTTTCCCCCGTCTCTGACGAGCGAGAATCTCTCAAAGGGGAACACTTGTCAAGTGTGAACGTCTTGGGATCGAGTTCGCTTACGAGGTCTGTCCATTCGCGTCGGAAGCACAGCCAGATATTACCCGATATTCGGGTACAATTCGGTCGAAACATAATTTTTACCGAAACATAGTTCGTGGGATGACTTGGACGCGATATTCCTTTACGTTCGCTATAAAATCCGCGAGGGCAGAGGGCTCGCCGCGGTTGCCAAACCAGTTCGCGGCTGCTCAGACGGGGTCATTAGGATACGTTTTAAAGAACCTTGGCATTTGACGTTAGATATTTCGGGGACGACGGTGCAGGTAGTCTTCCCGAACAGGTTTTTCAAAAAATGCAAATACAAGAGAGCCGCCGACGACGATCGCGCGTTCTTGCTAATTTCGCTGGCGAGTTTCGCCAAATTTTGAATCAGATCGAGCGAGAGGAGACGGAAACTTCGACGATATATTGAACTATCTAAATCAAATTATCAAAATGCATTAAATTATAGAGAAAAGTAATGAGATATTTTATTTTTTGCTTCGGTTTATACAGAGCCGCTATTTTCGCAATATTAAGCTATCTGACTATTTGTAACTTGCTAACGATTGGAGCAAAAAAAAGTTACTTTTGTAAGCAAAAGCAGTAAAAAAAAAATAACAAAAAAGTAGTTTCTTTTTAATTATTGTCACATATAATTTATTGCGTTCTGATAATTTTACTCGAACAGCTTAATATACCTGTCAGCTTAATATACCTGTCGATGGTACAGTTTTACCATTTGTTTTTTACATCGACCTCTTTCTTTTTCTATTTCTATTTTTCGATCCAACGAAATGTGTCACAGTGAACTTTGCGAAATGCATAAATCGAAACGGCTCTC